CATCGGGTAATTTCTGTTTTGTGAACTTTAATATGATATGAATAACTTTCAAATGAAATCAATCAATAAATGTGCCTAACGGAATAGTTAGGCACTGAATGACATTCAGTAGGGTATACAGAAGTAGACATACAGTGTTGTACACATGAAACTTATATAATGTTATAGATCAATGTTACTTCAATAAAAGAAAAATAAATACTTGTTTCGGTTTGTTATTTCTTCCTCTACTTGTTGGCAACTGTATCACTAGTGCAGCAGCCATCATTGCCCGCCAGTTGAGTGCATAAGATCACTTGTTCCACCAGATTTGTACACAAGAAGAATCCTGACGTTGGGTTTTCCGTTAGTACAGAAATGTTCTTAAATGAATGACATTCAAACTTAGCTCTATTATTTTAAAGAAACTAAAGGGGAATGAGCACAAAAATACTCCTTCAGATTAGTTGGGTGGGCAGAAATGCTGGCACTGATATGTATATGTTTCTGGCTATCGTCTGCTTTTTATTTCTACCTGCTGACATTTTTCCAGGTTAAGAACACAATCTATAAAGGCTTCAGCTCCAAAGTCTTCCCCAACATTGTTGTGCTATTTGTTTGCTCACTGGAGTTGGCAGAGAATCACATGAATGTGCAGAGGGATAACAGGAAAAAATGATACTTTTATTATAGGCTGACTTGTGTGTCCTTGGGTTTTAAGTTTTAAAAAAGTAGGAATTCAAAAAAAAAAGTAGGAATTCCAACAAGATTGGTACGTCCTTTTAGTACATCATGGTTACTCAAAATTAGTAAACATTATTTTTGTAAAACACTTTTCTATATGAGAATATGTTCCACTTAATTCATTAAACTCTTATTAAGCAATTTTCACTACTATATTTCCATTTAATTTTTATTAACAAAATTCCACACTTTGGGCTTCCCTGGTGGCGCAGTGGTTGAGAGTCCACCTGCCGATGCAGGGGACACGGGTTCGTGCCCCAGTCCGGGAAGATCCCACATGCCGTGGAGCCGCTGGGCCCGTGAGCCATGGCCGCTGAGCCTGCGCGTCCGGAGCCTGTGCTCCGCAACGGGAGAGGCCACAACAGTGAGAGGTCCGCGTATCACAAAAAAAAAAAAAAAAAATTCCACACTTCATTTTGATTTCCTTAGTTTTTGCATAAATTCTTTTTCTGTTCTAGGATCCCATCCAGGATACCACCTGATATTTACGTGTCATGTCTCTAAGCTCCTCTTGGCAGTTTTTCTCAGACTTCCCTTGTTTTTTTTTTTCTGTTTGTTTGTTTTTAAATTTTATTGAAGTATATATAGTTGATTTACAATGTTGTGTTAATTTCTTCTGTACAGCAAAGTGACTCAGCCATATATATATATATATATCTGTGTGTGTGTATTCTTTTTCATATTCTTTCCATTATGGTTTGTCACAGGATATTGAGTATAGTTCCCTATGTCCATTTAACTTTTAATCTCCTTGACTCTAAGCCTTCAGTAGCACAAGGGTCATAGAGAATGACAGACTATGCATAAGCAGTCATTGAGATTATCATGTTCCTCCTTATTAAGCAATTTTCTTATCCTTTTCCCAGTTTGTTGCATGGATTGGCATGGTACAGTGGAAAGCACACTGACCAAATAGTCAGGATACTTGGGTTCTAACCACAGCGTATAACCTCAGCTGTTTACTTTCTGGATTCCAGTCTTCCCATCCCCAAAATAGAATGATACTTGCTGAACCTATATCACGGGCCTGTTATGAGTTTCAAAGAATATAAAGAAAAGTACTTTGAAAGTGTTTATATGTAGGCTTCTTGCATTATCTTTTACATTTTTTATAGTTTTTCACAATTAAAAAAAAGTCCCATAACAATTGTACAAGATATTTTCACATGTTTATTTAATTAAATCTGTGGAAATGTTACTGTGCTTACATTTCACAACTGCATTTACTAAAATTCATTTTAGACCCACTCTGTAAGTTTTGACTTGTAAATCAGTCAGAGGAACTTTATGAATCTTTTCTATGAGAATGATTTAGTTAGCCTGTGTAATAGTACTAAATAATTTAAAGACAGTGTGATGTTCAGATTAGGAAACTTTTCACTGATGAAGACATCTGTAAGTGATTTCTTTCATCTATTTGGACATCTTGTACTCCAGAACTCATGAGGCTAACAAAAGCATCTGCCTTCTTATTTCTGCTATTCTAGATAGACATTGTTTTTATCAATAATAAACAGAAATATTGGTAAACAAAAATTTAAATGAGATTCTAGTTTTCTGAAGATTGTTGAAAGTCAGTATGGTATATTAAAAGAAAAAGTTCTTCTCTATAGGCTTCTCTATAGGCTCTCTAGGCTTTAGAATTCTGGGTCTGGCTCTGCTGGTATCTAATTGCAAGAATCAGGCATGGGGCTTCCATGGTGGCGCAGTAGTTAAGAATCCGCCTGCCAATCTACAGATTTAGTGCAATCCCTATCAAACTACCAATGGCATTTTTCACAGAACTAGAACAAAAAATATCACAATTTGTATGGAAACACAAAAGACCCCAAATAGCCAAGGCAATATTGAGAAAGAAAAAAGAAGAAAGAAAAAGGAGTCAGGCTCCCTGACTTCAGACTATAATACAAAGCTACAGTAATCAAGACAGTATGGTACTGGCACAAAAACAGAAATATAGATCAATGGAACATGATAGAAAGCCCAGAGATAAACCCACGCATATATGGTCACCTTATCTTTGATAAAGGAGGCAAGAATATACAATGGAGAAAAGACAGCCTCTTCAATAAGTGGTGCTGGGAAAACTGGACAGCTACATGTAAAAGAATGGACAGCTATATGTAAAAGAATGAAATTAGAACACTCCCTAACACTGTATACAGAAATAAACTCAAAATGGATTAAAGACCTAAATGTAAGGCCAGACACTATCAAACTCTTAGAGGAAAACATAGGCAGAACACTCTATGACGTAAATCACAGCAAGATCCTTTTTTACCCACTTCCTAGAGAAATGGAAATAAAAACAAAAATAAATAAATGGGACCTAATGAAACTTAAAAGCTTTTGCACAGCAAAGGAAACCATAAACAAGACAAAAGACAACCCTTATAATGGGAGAAAATATTTGCAAATGAAGCCACTGACAAAGGATTAATCTCCAAAATATGTAAGCAGCTCATGTAGCTCAATAACAAAAAAACAAAAAACCCAATCCAAAAATGGGCAGAAGACCTAAATAGACATTTCTCCAAAGAAGACATACACATTGCCAACAAACACGTGAAAGGATGCTCAACATCACTAACCATTAGAGAAATGCAAATCAAAACTACAACGAGGTATCACCTCACACCAGTCAGAATGGCCATCATCAAAAAATCTACAAACAATAAATGCCGGAGAGGGTGTGGAGAAAAGGGAACCCTCTTGCACTGTTGGTGGGAATGTAAATTGATACAGCCACTATGGAGAACAGTATGGAGGTTCCTTAAAAAACTAAAAATAGAACCACCATATGACCCAGCAATACCACTACTGGGCATATACCCTGATAAAACCATAATTCAAAAAGAGTCATGTACCCCAATGTTGATTGCAGCACTATTTACAATAGCCAGGACATGGAAGGAACCTAAGTGTCCATCGACAGATGAATGAATAAAGAAGATGTGGCACATATACACAATGGAATATTACTCAGCCATAAAAGGAAACAAAATTGAGTTATTTGTAGTGAGGTGGATGGACCTAGAGTCTGTCATACAGAGTGAAGTAAGTCAGAAAGAGAAAAACAAATACCGTATGCTAACACATATATATGGAATCTAAAAAAAATTTTTAAATGGTTCTGAAGAACCTAGGGGCAGGGCAGGAATAAAGACATAGACGTTCAGAATGGACTTGAGTACACGGGGAGGGGGAAGGGTAAGGTGGGACGAAGTGAGAGAGTGGCATGGACATATATACACTACCAAATGTAAAATAGCTAGTGGGAAGCAGCCACATAGCACAGGGAGATCAGCTAGGTGCTTTGTGACCACCTAGAGGGGTGGGAGAGGGAGGGTGGGAGGGAGACGCAAGAGTGAGGGGATATGGGGATATATATATGAGTATAGCTGATTCACTTTGTTATACAGCAGCCACTAACACACCATTGTAAAGCATTAAACATTAAACATTGTAAAACATTAACATCTCCAATAAAGATGTTAAAAAAACAAAAAAAGAATCCGCCTGCCAATGCAGGGGACACAAGTTCGATCCCTGGTCAGGGAAGATCCCACATGCCGCGGAGCAAGTAAGCCTGTGCACCACAACTGCTGAGCCTGCACTCTAGAGCCCATGGGCCACAACTACTGAGCCCACATGCCACAACTACTGAAGCCCGCACACCTGGAGCCCGTGCTCCGCAACAAGAGAAGCCACTGCAATGAGAAGCCTGTGTACCGCAACGAAGAGTAGCCCCCGCTTGCCGCAACTAGAGAAAGCCCACGCCCAGCAACGAAGACCCAACACAGCCAAAAATAAAAACAAATAAATAAATGTATTTTAAAAAAAAGGAATTCAGGCATGTCAATTTACTTTTTCTGGGCCTCATTTCCCCATTATAAAACAAGTGTTTTGGATTAGACTTCTAAGGTTCTTTACATTTTTAACATTCTGTCATTGTTTTTTAACTCTTCTAAGTATCTGTCTGAGGAGCCTGATGATAAGATTACAGTTGATACTAATATTTTTGAGATACTATTTATTATATTTGACTTATACCTAAGGTGACCATATAATTTACCATCCAAACAAGAAGAAACTTTTGAGAGTGAAAGAGATACTGTTAGTAATTACACAAGGACCATAGCTTTAAGCCAGAACTAGAATGTCTGGTTACCCTATCTATACCCAATATGTAGTTCTGCATTACTGGCCGAAAAAGAGTATTTGTTTATCAGTTTTAATTCCTTTTCCTGGTTCTCTGTTTTTTTTTCTTCTTATAGATCCACTGTGTGTGGAAAGTAGTGCAGCATCATGCCAGCAATCTCCAGCTAGTAAAAAAGGGATGTTCACAGATGACTTACACAAACTGGTGGATGACTGGACAAAGGAAACAGTAGGAAATTCTCTTATTAAGCCAAGTTTAAACCAACTTAAACAGAGTCAACAGAAACTAGAAACAGACAACTGGAACAAAGTATATGAAGTAAGTTGTTTATACCTGCCCCTCTTTATTTATGAGAACTAAAACCATAAAGATTGATTCACTTAGGCCTATAGTTATAGTCACTATGATAGAGTGGTGTGATTTGACAACATAGAGACTTTTATCCTTGTCTAGATTCATTATGTCTTTGAGCAAATTATGTTTTAGGCCAGACGCCAGCAAACTATTTCTGGGAAGGGGCCAATTAGTAAATATTTTCAAGCCATGTGGTTGTAACTAATCAACACAGCCATAGACAATACATAAACAAGTGGGCATGGCTTTGTTCCATTAAAACTTGATTTGCAAAAAGAGGTGGCAGGCTGTAGATTGCTAACCCTTGTTTTAGGCTATTATACCTGAAGGAAAAAAAAGGTATCAAAAAAGAAAGCATCTGGAGTGAGGGTTAATTCAACCTTGTGGTGCAAGAAGAATTTGGGTTTTGAGGAAAAGTTATCTTATGTTAATTGTACATCAGTATTCTCATAGCCAATAAGTTATCTTACGTATTCAGTATGAAAAAGAATTTTAAAGATATTTAAACTAGAATATTATAAAATATATCTTAAGTTTATGGACGAGATGTCTACTTAATTGCATATGTCCTTAGTCAGGTGTACAAGCAATTGAAATGTAGAAAGATGTCCACAATGCATTCTGGAGTGGGAAGAAGACAGGTTCACAGAATAGTATATATAGTATTTATGTAAAATTATATAAGATACATGTATATATGCATAGAAATAGGAAAAGCCATTAAAATATGCTGGATGGTGGAATTTGGGCCTTATTTTACTTTGTACTTTTCTGTATTTGAATTTTTAAAGTATCATTTTTTCAAAATGAATAAATCTATTAAAATGTGAATCAGGGCTTAGAATCTGAACCCATATAATTGAAAGAGATATATCTGAGTGTGTGTGTATGTTATGTTTGTGTACATATATGTGTGTGTATATATAGTCATTGCATGTAGTTTGGTAAAGAGTCTGAAAATACATTTAGTGTTAACATTGAATAAAATTTTTCAAAAGCCTAGATTTTCCAAACTAGTAAGCAGTGTATCTACTTAAGGGCTCTGTGTATTTATATTATTCCTGGCACCGATTTATACACAGATAGTATCACCATTGTAAAAATTGGAAGCCTTTAGAGGCAAATTTTAAGGCATAAATGTGTTTGTGCTGCCCGTGAGAGATCCTCTGAGCACTATGTGAATGGAGGCCTTTGTTGATGAGTTGGAGGGTGGTTTATTGTGGTATAATGAGAATGTTTGGAAGAAGAGTGAGTAGAAAATGGAGTACAAATAAAAGTGGTGAAGGTCTTTATACGGACTGGGGTTCCAGCGTCAGCTCAGTCATTTACTAGTTGTGTGACTTTAGACAAGTCATTTGTGCGTCAGTTTTCATGTCTTTAAAACAGGGATAATACCTTCCTGCTTTGCAGGATTGCTGTGAGGATTAAATGAGGTAACATCTTTAAAGTGCCTAGCACGTAGTAGTATCCTATATATGGTAACTATTTTTGTATTTTTAGGTTCAGTTGATTATATCTTTGTGTGGAGAGCCCATCTCACTATCTAATGTTCTTGCATGTTACTGTTCTGTGCCTTAGAAAAATTTGTCACAATTATGTGCCAAGCCCTCTGCTAGGCACTGGGTTTGATTAGCAAAAACAAGTATGTTCCCTGTTCTCATGGGACTTATATGCTGGTGGGACAGTTAGATATGAACAGACTTGTATAAATAAACATAAAATTGCAGCTGTAATAAGGACTACAAAGGAGAGATATAGGATACCATACAGTAAGGGAAATTTGACCTAGTAAAGGGAAGTCAAGAAAAGCTTCCCTGAGAAAGTGATGATTGAGCAGAGATCTGCAGGATGAGTAAGTGTTAACTAGGTGAAAAGGGGAGGGAATATGATTCTAAGCAGAAAGAACAGCATATGCAAAACCCCTGTATGGGGAAACAGAATGAAAGGACTGAAAGTAGGTCCATTTGGCTGAAGTGTAGAGAGCAGAGAGGAGTTGGTGCACAGTGAATCTAAGGAGGGTCTTAAAAGTGGTGATGACAAGGAACTTTGTCTTTATTTTAAGACAGATGGATAGCCATTGAAGCCCTAGGGTTGACATGATCAGATTTGCTTTTTTTTTTTTTATTTTTGCGGTACGCGGGCCTCTCACTGTTGTGGCCTCTCCCGTTGCGGAGCACAGGCTCCGGACGCGCAGGCTCAGCGGCCATGGCTCATGGGCCTAGCCGCTCTGCGGCATGTGGGATCTTCCTGGACTGGGGCACGAACCCGTGTCCCCTGCATCGGCAGGCAGACTCTCAACCACTGCACCACCAGGGAAGCCCCAGATTTGCTTTTTGAAAAGATCACTCTGGCTTGAAGCAAGAAGAAAGATTATTGAAGATAAGGGTAGATGTTGGTAGACCAATTAAGAGTTAGTCACAGTAGGCCCGATAAAGAGAAGTTGAACAACTTTTTAAATAACTATACTTCAATTTAAAAAAATGAGAGAGAGAAGATGAGATGAAGAGAAGTGAACAGATTACAAGAAATGTTTAAGAGATAAAATGGACCAGATTTAGTGATGGAACTGATGTTTGGCAGAGGGGAGGTGTCAAGGCAAGGTTTCTGGCTGGTATAACTGGCTATCATTCCAGCATACCAATCATCAAGAAGGGGAACATGAGCAGGCAGTGTGTTTTGGTAGAAGAAAGATCATACATTTGGTTTTGGTCATTTGAATCTGAGATGCCTTTTAAATATCCAAGAGAAGATTAAGTATAACATGTCATCTCCAATTTTTTAAAATAAAAATCACATTGTTACTGTTTGTAAAATAATAATGTTTGTTATAGAATTTAATCAATGCAGAAAAGTACAAAATTTTAAAATACCACCTTCAAATCCTACCACCCAGAAATAGTTGTCACTAACTTTAGATAAACATCATTTCAGATATCTTTCTATGTCTGTATATGAATACATAGAAATAGCTTTACAAAAATGTGATCATACTATATGTGCTATTTTAAAATCAGAAGTATTTAGTTTTACTTTAACAGAACAAAAATACTGATATGAAAAAGGGATTGCTGGACTTCAAATGTTTCTTTTTTACCTCAAGAGATCTTGTCATTCATTCTTGAGTCAAAGCTAAAAACCTTTAACCTAACTGTAGTTTGAAACTTTAGTTGAAAGCGTTTTAGCTTGACCATCAGTTTAGAAGAACTAAGAATTTGGGACTGATACCAAGCTCTCCTTTAAGTAAGAATTATTTACTTCCATTTAGAGTTATTATTCCCATGTGCATAAGATTTCAGTAATCTCTATACATACACATAATCACAATACAATATAATAAGAAGAGTCAGGCAGGAATATGTTTTCTTAGTACTGCCCAAAACATAATTGTCGAGTTTAAATTTCCAAAAATATAACAGAAATGTCAGACTTTAAATAGTGAGTAGGAGGAGGTAGGGAGGTGACATTTATTGAGCACCTACTATATGCCAGGCTTTCCCCTATGCCACTCTAAATCATGCTCCTCTTTCTCCAAAGAATTATGTAGTAAGATGGACTACTGTTGTCTGTGGCCCTGAATGAGAGACTGCCTGGAACTGGCAGAAGGAAGTAAAAATTGAAGAGTAGTGCTAGCACAAGGAAAGGAGACACTAAACTGTGAACAGAAATTTAGCAGGGGTCTTGGAGTTAGCTGGAACTGTGTTCAAATCCTCACCTTACTATTAACTTGCTAAGTGGTGATGGGTGTTATCAATTTTGAGCTTCTGTTTCCTCATCTAAAAATGCCTGCCTTGCAGGGCAGTTACGAAGATGAAATGAAATAAGGTATATAACTATGCTTAGCACACAGAACGTTACTCCAAAAATGGTAGACACTCAGAATAATAATGGGAGAGTAGTAAGCCAAAAAGAATACAGATGGGTAAAAGTATCTACCAAATAAACTGATCTTTTGTTTTTATTTTTTGTTAGAATACTCCATCTACTATGGGCTACACATCAACATGGATTTCTTCTCTGTCCCAAATCCGTGGAGCTGTCCCAGCCTCCTTGCCACAAGGACTCTCACGCCCTTCATTTCCTGGGCCATTATCATCATATGGAATACCCCATGTTTGTCAATATAATGCTGTGGGGGGGCCAGGGTATCCAGTACAGTGGGTAGGAATTTCAGGAACACCACAACAGTCTGTAGTAATTCCTACCCAATCTGGGGGACTGTTCCAGCCGGGGATGAATTTGCAGGCATTTCCAGCTTCATCAGTTCAGAATCCATCTGCGATCCCTCCTGGTCCCAAGTGAATCAGAGTAGAAGATGAAGAAAAAGGAGATGTTTTTCAGAATTATTTCCAGGACACCTAAGATAATAAACTTTCTTCTTCTTGTGTTCTGCCATATTTTCCCTCGTTTTGAGTTTACTTTCCACTATATATTTTTTTCCAATGTAGTATTTGATATAGCTCATCATCCTGTAGAACTGTGCAGTTTGTACATAGAACACTGCACACAGAAATGTTTTTTCACTTCAAATCCTATCCTCTTTGATACTTGATTTTTTAAAAATACTGTTCAGAATGCTTTAATAAGCTCAGCTTGAGCATTTCCATTTCCAGGACACTTTCCATTATTGCTGCTCTCTGCAGCTGGATGAGACTTTTCTTTAAAAGGTATAAAAACTATTTATATTCCCCTAACATGGGCAAAGTGAGACCCTCCAACAGCTGGAGTCTTATGGGATTCTTCACGTTTATCTTAGGTTTACCTTTCGCAGAAGGCAGGGTAACTTGCTGCAGGAAATGTTTTGGTATATAAAATTAGAATAACTTTGTCAACCAATATAGAACATGAGCCCTTTTTAATGTGATTTTCTTCCCGTCGTCACAGCAGTAGGAGTGAAGCCTTGTTTTAGGTGAGGCGGAGAGAAAGGAAAAAACAGAACTGTAACAGTTCCTTGATTCTGCAGATACTGTAGCTGCTTTAGGATTTCCATAGTAATTCAAAGCAGCTATCTCTTTGTTTCTCATGTGCACACTACATTGTTTTTGAGCATCTGAGAGGCATTGGTTTGGCTTGCATTCTTTTGCAAGGGATGTATTGCAGCGGATATGAATCTCATTTGGGGGGAATCTTAGTGTTCCTAACAAAGAGGATTCAAGTTACACCTCTATTAGTCCATTCTTCTGAAGTGAAATTTACTTGACACAGTAGGTTTTGTAGGTTTTGAGACTTACACATGAAACACTGGCTTTACAGGGTTCTAAGAGATGTGGGGTATACATTGTCCTGCAGTAGATAGTAGACCCTCAAACGATACTATTTAAGTTGCCCTTAGCTTTTTTTTTTCTTTGGATTACCTTTTTTTCAGTTGTTATAGTTTCCTTGTTAGTATCTAGCATCTTAGATGCTTTTAGATCTCAGATGATTTTGGCAGCCTCTTTAGAATCTGAGAGAGATCACTGTCAAGTTGCACTTTACTGGGTTTTATCCAGTTTTAGGAGGAGGGGAGGCAATGTCAAAATATACACTTTTAGTTTTCAAGAAGGTTAACTGTAATAATCTTAAAAGGCTGGTCACAGAGTTACCTAATGCTCAGTCTGTGAAACCCAAATAGAATTCTAAAATGGTATTTATCGACTACCACATATAAAGATGTTTAAAATACTTAGTTTTCGCTCTGAAGATTTCAAGGTCATTTCTAGTACACATTTACGTAATAACGAGTTGTCTACTGGTCAACATTCCAGATGATCACCCAACATTTCTGTTGACATATTTTCCTCCATATTCCTCTAAAAATTTTACCCCGTGACCTTGCCAGGTAATGAGGAAAACTTAATGGGTGTACCTTTTTTTGCACAGTCTACTTTGTGACATGCAGTACACTTTTTCAAAAAAAACAAATGTGTCTTATGTTACTTACCTGAGGATCACACTCAGCATCATGAAGATTCTGTTGCTATCATTTGGGGGCATCCAGGGCAGCATTTTGAGAATTGCTGTTGATAAGAGCCACAGTTTTCTTTTCATAAAACATACTCTGGTTTGGATGAGTCTTTCTAAATCTTATGTACAGATTCTTCAAATTTCTTCTACAGTATTGGTTTGCAAGTTGAAGTGGTTTTAGGACATTAGTGTAATGCAAATTCTTGCATTGCAATTTTCCACGTGTACAAAAACAATGTGCCTAAAATCCGTAATTCTTTAAAACTGCTTGTGTTTCATTATTAGAGTCAGCTTTGTGTGATTACATTGAGACTTACAACCTATAAAGTGAAAATACTGCAGGTTTTATGATCCCTTCTTCTCGAGTTGCAATCCTTTTAAACAGTGTACCCCAGGATGAAAAAAGCTCCATGGATGACATGCACAATTACATTTATTAATGGCTGCTCTACATCATATGTCCCACATTTTGCCACCACCTCTGTTTTATGTATAATTCATCATTCTTTTGCCTGCAGAATTTTGCAGTGCCTTGTAATATTTAGAATCTTTTCAGAGTTTTTGCTGGAAAGAAAAGTAGTCTTCTAAAGTTTGAAGATGGTGAGTAGTGTACTGCTGTCTCCATGCTGACTGCAGTAGTTGGGTTAACATATGTATACATGATGTATATGTAACATGTATAAGTTTAAAAATACAGAAAAAAGTGAGTTTGTGCAGAAATGAAGAAAACAGTGTTATTCACATCACTGTGGGTTTTTAAGTTATTTTTTTCCCATTACTTAAATGTTTGATTCCAATTACAGTCACTTTGACTGTAAATATTAGCTAGTTTTCTATCTAGGGGTTTTGCATTATTTCATAATTTTGCTAAATCATATGATAGTGCTGTATTCATCCTTGCTGAGGTACTTTTTCCCCCCCCAGAAATAATTAACTCTTGAGGTAAAGCTCAGAAATTCCCTTCTTACTTAACAAAGAGCCTACTATGTAACAAGGGCCTTCTTCCCATTTCCAACACACACACACAAACCTGTCCTTTCCATTTTCCTTCTTGTAGAAAAAAAAAAAGGTTATACTAAACCATCCCACTTGTAAAGTTTATTTGGGGGTAGTCTGTGTGTCCAACCACCATGTTTACTTCTCAAAGTGCAAGTCTGATGAATAGTACTGTATCTCCATATGTGGCAATGTGAGCATTTCATCATGAATTACCTGCTGCTATGTTTGTGAAGTTGGGTGTAACATCATAAGAATATGAAACCAGTATTGGTGTAAATCTAATGAAAATAACCCTATGTATATTTGTAGCAGTCTTGAATCTCTAAGGCAATTTGCTGTAGTATAACAAATATCCATTTCGTTTTTCATATTTTTCTTGCCAGTTTTATATCAAGCATGAATTCTAATGGTTTGACAGCAAAATTATCTGTGAAAGTTTAAAAGGCACTTTTCTGCTGTGATTTTTGGATTGAGTGTGGAGTGTTATGTACAGTATGATGGGATGTATCATTTTAGAACCGCAGATTTAATTCTACTCCAATTACATTTGTTTATCTACCTCTTTTTCAGTGCTGTTTTGGGGTACACATGTAAACACTGCCTGTGAAACTTGCTTTTTTGCCTTGATTCTCAGTATTCTTTCAGGTTATAAATCTGGCCTGCTAACTATGAGTTTGAAATGAGAAGGACCATCACTCTGGCACCAATCTATGTTTAAGTGACGAGAGCCACATGCTTCTGTGAAATAAGCTTTGGGGATTTAGGGATGGAGAACAGAGAAATAAATCCAGCTGGTGGCAATATAGGACTTAGTTGTAGAAGTTAGTTGTAAAATAAACAAATGATAAGAAAGTACCTAAATTAGACAATCTGGTGCCTGTAACTTCGTATCTTTTTTTTTGCGGTACGCAGGCCTCTCGCTGCTGTGGCCTCTCCTGTTGCGGAGCACAGGCTCCGGACGCGCAGGCTCAGTGGCCATGGCTCACGGGCCCAGCCGCTCCGCGGCAGGTGGGATCCTCGCGGACCGGGGCACAAACCCGCCTCCCCTGCATCGGTAGGCGGACTTTCAACCACTGCGCCACCAGGGAAGCCCTGTAACTTCGTATCTTTTATTAGAGATGCGTTTCTTGTCTGTGTGCCTAAAGGGCTATGGGTTGAAACTGCTTTAACTATCACAATGAAATATTTGACAAATATTACAGCAGTGGCCCATCATTCAGCATATTAGCATACTGCTAGGTATTTGCAATGATATTTTATTACCTTAAAATGGCCATATGCTTTTAGTTGAATTGTAGTTAGTCGTAACTGTTTATCCAATCTCTAAAGTTTATTGGAGGCATTGACTTTCTTCTTTGCTGTCTTCTCTGAGTGATGAAAATGATGCATTCTCTGTTTTTTCCAGAAAACTGAGCAAATGTTTGTAAACCACGTTATTTGTTTCACATGTTTACTGTGTGTAACACTACAGCATGTTTAATGTTAGTAAATACTGTATTTCAGGCTTCACGTACAAGTACATTCCTGAGGTATACTTGCCATCAGTTTGGGATTCAGTTATTTAATCTTCTGTTTGGTTTAGAAGAATCTTGAGATATTTGAGGTGGTGTGCAGGCCATTTTCTAGAATAGATTGTTCATTTTTAATCCTGTAGTTTACTGGGGACTTGTTTTTTCCTCCTTTATTTAGAAGATGAACCAGTAAGGGAGCAGGGCATAGGAAAGGTCATTGATTTGGTAAATGTAATTTCTGGGATTGAAATAAAAAACCCACAAACAATCCAGACTGTAAAATGGTGACACTCAAACTTGGTAAAATCCTTTGAAGTGAAGTTAGTATGAAATTTTTATGGAGCCAGATGCTTTCAGGTCACCCTGGAAATAGTCTTTGTATGTGAAGGATGAACACAAACATTGGTCAGGGACCTTGACAGCCACCATTGGCAGGGGCCTGGGATAGTAACTAGGTTACACTTAAGTTATTTTCAACTGAGATAGCTGGAAGATTATATAAACCAACAGCTCCCATTCTGGAAGGTCTTCTTTTAATTAAAAAAACCTCTAACAGAAAGGCCAAAAGTCAAGCAAGAAGGGGAGAAACTGGGCTCTTGAGAAAAAAAAAAGTGCCAGTGAAAAATAAAATTCCTAAATGTGTGCTTGTCATCCTTCCAGTTTTTTTTTTTAAGTTGCATTTCTTCTCCATTATAATTTAAGATTTCAGATTGAGGTTTGTGGTCCAGAACATACCCTCAGCAGAAATAGTGACTGATTGGAAAGTGCAGTTGTTCAAGGTCTGTCATGCTCAATCACTTAAAGCTGTAATTTGTTTGATATGAATATTAAGCATGTAGACCTAGTGTAGCATGGGAGCCACTCAGGAAGTTTATGCAATTAATAAACTTTCATGCATAATTAATTTACTATGAAGTATGCAGAATTTCAACCACTTCTTAACACTTAGTTGTATATGTGAACTCTCCTTTCTTAATTGGGGAATGTAGCATTATATGGAATGTTGTTAAACCTAATTTTAATCCTTCTTGACATTAACTTTTATTATTTTTTTTGGTAAACCAAGTGATCTGCCTTTAAGCAGTTGTCTGATTTCGGTTGTTTGAAACTGTGATTTTTATTTCATTTGTATCCAACCATTTGTTTTGTTTCCTGGAAATTTTGTTTTGAAACAGAAAATAAAGGCTGTGTTAAAATGAGTATGTTATCTTATTAAAACGCTGTCATAGTCACTGCAATCATCTGGCTTAAACTGGTTCTTCATTTACCAAATCTAATTTAGCAGGTTTAAAAACTTTAGTCCTATAGATATGTTGGCTGAACAAACTAAGCTGTGTGTTACCTCTTGATTTATAGCTCCAACAAATTTTGAGTTGGACCCCTTGTCCTCACTTGTCAATGAGCCATAATTGGAACAGTCACTACGATTTACTGAGTACCTACTGTGTTAGTTAGGCTTGTGATAAAATTCATAAAACAATCCTATAAGCTAGATCTGTTACTGTCTCTACAGAGAAAATTTGAGAATCAGAGAGATTAAAGAATTTACCAAGGTACCATAGCTAGTAAATGATGAAGCCTGGATCCAAACCCAGGTCTGACTCCAAAATTCATGGGAAAAACCTCAGGCCATACTGACTCTCAGATGTACTGTAATAATAATAATCAAAATACATTTAGACTACGTTTTCAACTAATTATTATGATTAGTATATACGCTTTTCATATATCTTTCATGAGGTTATGTCCAGTGCTTGTTTTATAATTTCAGGAGAAGTATATGTTTATGGTACAAGCAAGAATTCAAAATGTGCCCTTTGTGTAAACTTATTAAGGAGTATTTCCTTTCATATTGACAGTGTTTATGGTCCACCTTCAGAAAAAAGTGCATTTGGAAATCTCCGTTGCACATCTTTCATTTACCACACTACAGTGACTTTGGAAACTGTCAAATGAGGTCAGATCCCTTGTTCATTTGATAATTTAGGTAGAAGAATCATGCATATGTTTATGCAAACAGCCCTGAAGGAAGAATAAGAGGCCTATCAGAAATATTCAAGATTAGATGAGGATTTGTAAAGTGTTTTTAAAAATCTATTACCTTGATTTTATGACAATGACTCCAAGGTATTCTCTCCTAGGTGATCCCTAAAGGGAGGATACAAGGTACACAGTTGAACAAACACAGGTTTTTTGACTCACAGACCCCTCAAACCTCTATTTTCTCATTTGTAAAATGAGGTGGTTGTGAGTATTAAATGAGATATGTCCCAAATTTGCTAATTGTGCTTATTGTTAGACATCTCTAGTGACTTTCACAATAAACTTGCACTTGGGAAACCAGACTGGTTTGGAAATGGGCCCTGGTTCTTATTATAGTTGCTACAGATACCACTTGGAGTTCAGCAGACCTGGATTTGTATTCTAGCTTTGTGAACTTGGAAAATTATTTAACTTTTTAGCTTCAATTTCCTTATCTGTAAAAAGGATAACTGCTTCACTGGTGGTATTTTGAGACTAAATGAAAAAACATAAAGGGCTTAGCACTGCACCTGGCACATAGTAGGTCTGCTCAAATAATAGTAACAGCTACTGAAGGGACTTTACATGTCACTAAGGAGGAAACAGTCATAGAGATGTGACAAAACTGAACCCAACCTGCGAGTCAACGTGAGGTCTGTTGGTGAAAGATTGGGTATTGGCCCCAGTGGTGCCAGATGATGTAAAGTGAGGTTCAGAGATGAAAGTGTTTAAGTTGGGGGATAAAACACCATAAAACCCATTTAAAATGTGCCATCATTAATGAGCACTAGATTAAAAGAATCAGATGAAAGAATTAAGTCTGTGACTAAAGAATTTAGAAGGAGCTGAAGTAGTAGGATTTGGGGAAAAGACGGTGGGTCTTAAGACAGGAGCTCAAGACAGAAATGAAGTAAAGCACAGATGATGGTCTGAATAGGAGCAGGACCTTGGGATAAACAGATGAAGAACTGGAAAAGACTAGTTCACATGCATGTTACAAATTTGTAAGATTTCTCCATTCCAGTTCAGAGGTTCTCATCGCTGACTGCATATTAAAATCACCTGGGGAGGTATTTTTAAAAATTAGTGTCCCTGGGCTTCCCTGGTGGTGTAGTGGTTGAGAGTCCGCCTGCCGATGCAGGGGACACGGGTTCGTGCCCCGGTCCGGGAAGATCCCACATGCCGCGGAGCGGCTAGGCCCGTGAGCCATGGCCGCTGAGCCTGTGCGTCCGGAGCCTGTGCTCCGCAACGAGAGAGGCCACAACAGTGAGAGGCCCGTGTACCGCAAAAAAAAAAAAAAAAAAATTAGTGTCCCGGTTGCACAGCAATGTGAATATACTTAACACTCCTGAACTGTATACTTAAAAATGGTTAAGATGGTAATTTTTCTGTTATATATATTTTACCACAATTTAAAAATAATTAGTGTCTGGGCCCCATTCCTATAATTAGTATTGTTTTAAAAAGCTCCCCAGGTGATATATTAATATTATATTAAACTAGCTAGGGTTGAGAACCACAGTCCTTGTTTCCTTTACTAATCAAATGACCTCCCTGCTATTATTGCTGGTTCAAGAAACACAAGCAACATAGCAGCCTTATTAGACCTTCTAATGAATTATTTACTATTACCATATAAGCTTACAGCCTCTCAAACAGCCCCCAAGGATTTGGGCAATAGATAAAGCTAAGTGGGCCCCTTGCAGAAACTGAACAGCTAGTTACTACTTAGGTGGAAGATATCAGAAGATTGAATCCAATATGAATTTTCGATGCAACTTCTTTATGCTTCTCTCCAGCCTTCATTTTAATAATTAAGATTTATTAGGTGCTTACTGTGCCAGTTACTGTGCTAAGCACTTTAATATACCATTTAATCTTCAAAGGTTTCTGAGGTAAGTACATTACCATCTCCCTTCTAAGCTCCTTGACTGCCTTGAAAACTGTTTTCTCCTAGCCCAGCGTTATTCCTGGCATGTAGTAGGTACCAAATAAATCTGTTGAATAAATTAATGAGTCCCTATTTCATAGATACAATAAGGGCTCAAGAGGTTAAATAACTTGTTAGTTATATAGCAAATAAGGAGTTGAAATGGTATTGGAGCCAAGATCTCAGCTCCAAAGCACACACTTTAACCACTATTCTGTGACATCTACTGTCCCCTTCTACTTTCAGAGCTTTGGCCTCTGTTATCTCTTCCCTCTCTATGGCCTATGCCTAGCATAAAGTTTCTCTTGTACTATATATGTTAAGATTCTTGTTTGTAAGTAATAGAAACCCAATTTGAACAAGCTTAAACAAAAAAGAGGGATTTATTATAAAGATGGTGGTGGTGTCTCAAAACACCCAACGATAGTGCAGATGGGCCTTAGGAACATAATCAGGTGCTTGAATGCAGCCAGGATTTTTCATCTCTCCTCCTCCAGCTCAATCCCAAATTCTCTGGGAAGGTACATAAAGAATAAGCTCCTGATGCAACCATGAGGGTAAGGTAGAGAAAGTGGTAGAAAAGGGGTACTGGGGAGACAAAACAGACGTTTACCTATAGTCCTCCGTTTGACTGCCCCGTAAACACATATGCCATTTTCCCCATACCTACAATTCCACAAATGTCCACACCTAACAATCTATGGACAACTGCAAGTCACATGCAACTACTGTATCCAAAGCAACGGCACAGCATGGACATGCCCCTTCCTCATCTAGTTCAGTGGCAATCTAAATGTGGATCATCTTGATCCTGCCACTCCCTGATAAACTTAACTGCCACCAACAGATCTAACATGCAATAGTAGAGAAATATTTAGATTAACCACTAAGTTCCCTTTTATGAAAGGAGAGGGGCACAACTTTATCAGCCACCGGTCCAAGTGTGCACCATTTCCACCTGGATAGGAAGGAAGGAAATAAATTACGGGTATAGAAAAACTTATGGGAGTCATTTTATTGATGCTTCTTTTTGCTTTACCAGTCTGTACATGGGCCTGCTCTAGAAGAGCAGTGATTCTCAAACGTAAGGGTGCATTAGAATCACCTGGAGAACTAGTGTGACCTGCGAAAACTCTCGACACAAACACTCCATTCAAACACCTACACTAAGAGACTAGACCAAACTTGGCTTCTAGCCTCCTAAGTCGGAGTCTCTGGGATGACCCAATTTCCATCTGGAAAAGCTCGGGCTGTAAAAAGAATTTATAGCTTACTCTAGCTGACACCTGACAATAGACCCCTGACCTCCCTTTCTTAGAGCATTTACCAAAAAGGGCTTAAAATTATGACTTCTTCCCATGTCCCTTTGAGATGTATATGTATCTCCTACAACTCCAGAGTGTGTGTCTCAAGGACCATTCCTTTGAAATGTAGTCATCATGAAGGCTAGGGCCTCTGTCTCCCAGTAACTGTGGGAGGATATAATCCTAACTTAAATAATTGCCAGCTAGCAGACACAGCTAGCCTAACTGCATTTACGCTGGCCAACTCTTTGTAATTTTTCACTTCCCTGACTCTACCTGAGCCTCTCCTCGCTCCTCCTCCCTCCTTTTCCCTTTAAAATGCTCAGTCACCTCTGTACAAATGGGAATGGAGCTTTGCTTTTTCCCCTACTATCAGTAATTGAATAAAATCTGTCCTCACTGCTTTAACTAATGTCAGGCTTTGTTTATCTTTGACACCATTTAAACCACACATTGCTAGCCCCACCCCCAGAGTTTCTGATTCAGGAGATCTGGGGTGAGTCCCGAGAATTTACATTTCTAACAGTTCCTAGGTGCTGATATGCCGGTCCAGGGACCATACTTTGAGAATCACTGCTGGCTCATGGTCCCTGTTCACTAGATAGGATTTTCTAGTGATACAACTTCCTCAAAACCTCATATTGTAAGGCCAACTGGCCCGAGGCAGGGGAACACAATCAGATTCACAGGTTGCATCAGACCGAAATTCTCCGGACCACCCAGTTCCAGAAACTGCCCTGGAGACATTCCGGACCACCCAGTTCCAGGAACTGACCTGGGGACTTTGAACCCGGCCCAGCCTTCCCGCCTTTCGAGGGGCGGGACTAACCGTCCCCCAGGATACCCGAAAAGACCACCAAATAAGGAATACCCTGCGCCCTCCCAGATTCACCACACCCCTTTCCCTTCTTCCCCTATAAAATCTTGCCCAACCCTCGCCCGGGTGCGACTTCTCTGGCCCCATTCTCTCGGACCAGTGAACCTCGCCCGGGAGCGCTCCTTAATAAAGCTCACTTGAAGCTTTCCTCTGTTTCCCGGTGCCGTTTGTTAAGATCCGACCTTACACATATGACTGCCTGTTAATTTCATTTGAGGGGACTCACAATGCTAATAACAAGTGCCAAGAATCTTGTCAACTTATGCTCTTTGAACCTTCAGATTTGCTAAAGGGAATAATCACCCTGTTGCGGGTTTCTATTTCTTTTTTTTTTTCTTCCTTTTTTTTTTTTGCGGTACGCGGGTCTCTCACTGTTGTGGCCTATCCCATTGCGGAGCACAGGCTCCAGACGCGCAGACTCAGCGGCCACGGCTCACGGGCCTAGCTGCTCCGCGGCATGTGGGATCTTCCCGGACCGGGGCACGAACCCGTGTCCCCTGCATCGGCAGGCGGACTCTCAACCACTGCGCCACCAGGGAAGCCCGGTTTCTATTTCTTAGCTCTCTACCTAAAGACTTGGCTCCTTCTCCCTGGCATTATGCTCAAGGTCTCCAGTTCAGAGCGTGGATAGGAAACAGGTTGAGTTCAACGATGTGAAGCCTCTCTTTTCCGACCTGCTCTGGGAATGTTACACTTACCCTCTCTTCCTTGCATTCCAGCTGAATGCATGTACAGAGGAAGAGATCATCACATTTGGGGGAGCTGGAGAACAAGGAATACTGTGGTGGCTTATAAAGATAACTTCGTTCCAGTTCGTCGGAAACTGGATGCCAGTTTCCTAATTAGTGGAACATTTAAAATGAGACAATAAATCAGCAAAGCCCATGAATATCTAACCATTAGCAACTGCTAAACTCTTGATATAGGCAGGGCTGCTCTGCTTTTGAGGCTCAAGAGCAATAAGCAACTGCTTCGCTGCCAAATAACACAGAATGCCAACTTCCAATTAACGATATGGGAGATCTCCAATCTTTGCCAGCTCCATAGTTCGGGGTCTATAATTTCCCACACCCCATTTCTGGTACCAGTTCTTGAATTAATAATTTTTTGGTCATGAGTAGTTTCTAACCCAACTCTATCTTAAAAATAGTAAGGATATGAGGTTGCCTCAGAGAAACCAAGGGCAAGAATGCCTGAGGAATGATCTAGAACCTGGGTCTTAAACACGATGAAGACTCCCTATCTCCCATCTCTGCTCTAGAGTCTGCGGTTTTTTCTCTTCCTGCAGACCAGCATCTTTCACTTTTGTCCCTCTGATGGGAAAATTGACTACTGACAGCTTCCAAGTTTTACACTTACAGAAAAACTGATCTCTCTGGTCCAATTCCAAATTTCTAGGGAATGAGATTCTGATCGACCCAGCTTGGATTTGTTATCTACCTTTGACCCAGTCAGCGATGGTTATGGTTAACATGACAGTTTTTGTAAATGGGGAGAGGGTTAATTCCTAGAAAAGGAGGGCTGAGTAGACAATCCAACAGGTGTCCATTATACTAGAAAACTTCTATTCCTTTCATCCACCATCCCTTCAAGCCACTATTCCCTCCTTTCACTGCTTGTTTTCACAGGAGTTATTTATGTGCATTGCTTCAACATCTACTTATTCTTTGCCAATCTGGTTTGTTCTATCTCCACTAGTCTTTTATGATAAATTTCTTTATGGAGCTTGAAGATTTTTCAGCTTTTGTATCCTAATACACTGTTCTCAGATTTCATTCACCTTGACTACTCTTGAGTTCTAAACTTTTGCGTTCTTACTCGGCCTGCCATTATATCCCACCTTCTATTAAGTTCCAAGCCAGATCTGACTGCTACGCACTGTTACAGAACAGAATAGATCTTGTTTTCTACCCTCCTCCAGTTTAAACAGTGTGCCCTAAACACCAGTCAGCCAGAAGACTGGTGCTATATCTGAATCAAACAAGGAGAATGCTGAAAATATTGAATAGATTTTCAAAAGATGATTCTGTACGTCTGGAATTGGAGCCCTTACCGCTATTTTTCCAGAGCTCCCCGACAGGTGGATTCACAATGTTTGCAAACAAAGGTCCTAACCATAGGACATTGTAGCTCAGTGAGTACCAGAAAGGTACAACTTGTAGTATAACTTGTGTTGGTGCTTATCTCCCTGACCAAAGAGCTCCTGAGTACAATGGATATTCGATTTCACTTTGTCTCTGCATTGCCTTGGGCAAATAAATTATACAATTTTCACCATTCATAAACTGGGGCCAAGAACTCTTCCTCAAAGAATTACAGTAGCTAAAAGTTAAGTGGATTGTTACAGAAATGGTGGTTATTATTTTTACGTTTCATATGTGTCCTTTCTCATTCATTAAAAGCTACGCACATTATTCCCTCCCCCCAAAGGAAAATTCTTCCTCCTGGGGAATTTTAGCATACTTTAGCTGAATTCAATTAAACCACTCTACTTCCTTTCCCATGATGCATCACTCCCCCCCAACTCCTTTTCCTGGGAAAGGCGGTAAATAGCCTGAAGCAACTCGGTGGATGCAAAGAGCTGGAGTGCAAATCCTAAACGCATATCACGCCCCTCCCCTTGAGACCCAGTGAATGCAAGGGCTGACAGGGGTGGTAATCTTGTTCCAACACTGTATCCCGAGGCCGCAGAGGAGACTACAACTCCCAGAATGCCCCGCCCCGCTCCCCCTCCTCCAGCTAGAAAGCGTGTACCATAGAGAAGACGAGGTAACATGGCTCCTGGAGGTAGAAGTAAGACGCTTCACCCCTTTTGAAGCGGTGAAGAGCGGCCATAGAGGGATAAGAGAGAAGTGACTACAGGCCGTCATCGCTTTTATCCTCCCAGCCTCTCCTGAGTCCGGTCGGCTTCACCACTCCTCTCCACCCAAATCCAGTCTGTGGTCTCCTCCCCACGCCTCCCTTATTCCCTCGCTAGCTCACCCCGCCCCTCGGGAATCCTTTGCCCGCCCCCTCGCCCCCCGCGGAGTGCGCACGCGCCCGCCCCCAGCTTCGCGCCCAGATCGCCGCCTAGCCTGCTCGCGCAGCCGCCGTCTCGTCTGCCCACCGACGAAGCATGGGCGTCCAGGGCTTCCAAGAGTTCCTGGAGAAGCGCTGTCCCGGGGCTGTTGTGCCCGTGGACCTCCTCAAACTCGCGCGTACGATGTCGCGCCAGCAGCAGCAGCAGCAGCATCGCCCGCTGCCGCCTACGGCAGCCCTAGCGCCCGGGGCTCCACGCGCCGCCAGGGGCTCCGCGCCTCTGCAACCGCCGCTCGCGCCCGCTGCCTTGGGTGCCTACTCCGGGGGCGCGGGGCCGACTCGGCACCATCACCCCGCTCACCACTTCCACCATCACGGCCAGGCGCACCCCGGGCTGCACCCGCCGCCGCCGCCGCCGCCCCCTCCGCTGCCCGGGGCCCGGGTGCTGGTGGACGCGGGCTCAGCGCTGCCTCGGCTTTATGGCGGCTACCAGACGGATTGGGTGTGTGGCGGCCAATGGAACGCCATGCTGGGCTACTTGTCAGCGCTATGTCAGGCTTGTGCCTATCCCGGCGGCGACGGCTTGGAGCTGGTGGTCATGTTCCCCGGGGGCCTGGGCAAGGACCGGCTGGCCGAGTGGGGCCGTCGGTGCCAGGCCGAGCGGCAGACAGCGCAACTGATCGTGGGACACGTGGGCAACAAGGGCACCCCTCCTCCACGGGCCTGGTTCCTGCCACCGGCCTGCCTGAGCCACTGCGTGAGGCTAGCGCTCATCCGCTTCCGGGTCAAGGTGAGGGAGGGGCCGGATCTTAAATAATACGCCCCACACCTATTCCCTCCCAACTAAACACCTAACCACCCACCCACTTACCTGTCTCCCATCCACCCACTCAGCGCCCAGTCAGCTAACCCACTTGCCTAACTACCCTCGATCATTTTATCCATCTACCCAACCCTTCATACCACGCCCTACCGATTCGCTCACCTGCATAACCACATCTCTACCTATGTCATCCCAATAACCCCCTTTATCCAATTGGCCTATCCCTAGGCTTTAGCAGAATTTATTTTGTAGCTCCATCTTTCTCCTGCTGTCTTCTGCCTCAAGCTGAAATGCCATTTTCCAGATTTTTCCAGTTGACATCTCTCTTCTATGTCTTTTTCCAACCTTGCAGCAGATCAGTTAAACGTGTTAGTTGAGCACCTTTCTTCTACAGCTTTTCCCCGAATTTTGAACCAGTGCTTCTTTTGCACCCATCTGTTCATTCAACCTCTTTCATTTCAACATGTTTCTACCTCATCCTTCCTTAGCCTAAACAAACGAACAAACAATCCCACTGGTTCAGTCGCTTTTAAACAAGTATTAACCCACTAAGAGTAAGGGGTTTAAAAGACATGTGAGACATGGTTCCTGCCCTTGGAAAATCAAATATATCAAATATATACACAGGAAACATTTATTTAATGGTATAAATGTGTATGTGATTATGCTTTATGGTACAGATTGGTACCTGTTTTGTGTGTGTGTGGGGGAATGTCTGTGGGCTAAAATGGTCAGAGGAGGCTTCCTTGAAGTTGGACCTCACCTGGGTCTTCAAGGATGAATTGGATTTGAATTGGTTACAGGTTTGGGAAGGGGCTTATTTAAGCAGGAGAAAGAAAATGAACAGAAGCAAACGGGAATATCAAGCATGTGAGGCCCCACGGGCAGTTCAGTCTAATCTCTGCATGTAGTTGGTCACTGCATATGGGGCCTGGAGAACAGCTTGGCAGCAACCCCAGTTCTTGGCACAACTGCTATTGCTCTGTTGCTTTTCCATACTCTTGGGTTTCAAGTTCCTACGTGTAGGGAATAGCAAGGCTTGAGAAGTAAAGGAGGTGGGCAGGAAGAAGAAAAAGAAAAGCAGTACAGGGTTGGGTAGGACAAAACCACAAACCCATTCCCCAACCAAGGCCCTTGGGGATGTGTGCACAGTCAGAAGATAGGATATGGAATTGTGGGAATCAGAAACTAAAGAAATGGTGCTGGGTGGAGTAATGAGGAAAAAAATCTCAGCTGAGAGACTGAAAGACCTGCATAAAGAAACTCACAGTGGTCATAGAGCTTGTGGCTAGAGTCCAGTCATGCTAGACTCCTTGTGCCCAGCATCTAATCTGTGCCTAGGCTGGGTAATTATAGCTGTTTTTAATATTTTTTTTTTAAAAATTCAATCACGAGCTATCTCAAACATACAAAGTAGGAGAAAAAATATGTCAGACACTCATTTGCTTGCCTTCCTGACTGAGCATTTTTCAGTAGATTCTTCTTTTATGGCCATTCTTTCCACTTTGTTTTCACTGCTACCACTCGAGCTTTAAGGACTTTTTACCTCATTGTCATTATTAACTTGGCTGCCGGCAACAGTGACTAACATTGATGGAATGCTTACTATGTGCCAGCTGCTAATCTGTGTGCTTTAACAACAACAACAGAAATGATCTCATTTGATCCTCACGATAACCTGTGAAGCAGTATTAGCCGTTTTTCAAATGAGGAAACTGAGGCACAGGAGGTTTAGAAACTTGCCCAAAGTCACCCGGCAATAAATGGCAGAGCTGGGATTCTGGGAGTCATGCCCAGGCAATCTGACTCCAAAGCACATGCTCTTAACAACGGTGCTCTAAGATGAATCTTTCTAAAGTGCCGGTGTGATTAAATCATTCCCACACTGGACTAAAATCTTCCTTGGCTCCTGGGTAAAGACAGGTCTGGGCTATTCATTTATATTATTTATTGAGTGCCTGCTATAGGCTAAGTACTGTACTGGTTGCTGAGGATTCAGAGTGAAGTAAGGAGGTCAGAGTAAGGCCCCGTGAAGTAAGGCCCTCACGGAGGTCAGAGTTTAGTAAGAGTCAGACTGAAAACAAGAGTTGCAGATACCGTGAGCTAATTGCTAATGATGAAAAATGTGGTCCCTGTAGGGGGCATTGGTTAATTCTTGGTGAGGGCGTGAAAGTTGGGGGAGGTTTCACAGATTGGTACTGAGCCTTGAGGAGGGCTGGGAAGGATGGTTCAGAGTGGGCAAGGATGTGGAGATGTAAAATGGCCTACTGTGAGCTCTGAATAGATTTTGATTGGAGGTTGGCAGGAATTGAACACTGAGTATGGGTTTGAGTTTTTCCAGCTTTTTTGTTCATACACCTCATCAGTGAAAATTTTTGAGAAGCAACCCTAATATGGCCTACTAAGATTCTTCATTACACATAGTCTTATTTTTAAAATCCCAGCAGTTTGTAAAAAATAAGATGGATTGATAGGTGATAAAGCAAATGTAGTAAAAATGGTAGAATCTCAGTCGTGACTTTTCTAATGTTCACTGTAAAATTATTTCAACTTTGCTATATGTTTAAAGTTTTTCTTAATAAAATGTTGGGGGGAAATTTCCCAGCAGCGCTCTTCAGTCATGAGTACCACTGTTTGTGAAATACATGTCTTGTTCCCCATGCTAGATTATAAACAAACTCTTATCTTTTCATAGTCTCCATAATAACTTGTATATTTTAGGTGCAGGATACATTTTTTTCCCTGAATGAAAAGGTTAGTGATCTAAGAATGCATTGTAGGAGTGACTTTTTAAAAGTGTGTAGTGTGGCTCTTAACATAGTGGATTTAAGACTGGCTCCAAAAGTGCATATGTAAAGTATCTGTAGATGTTATCAGTGAGTGAAGTTTTCTCTCCCGGTTCTGGTCAGTGATTGTTGTTGTTGCTGTTGGAGTGATGGAGAACTTCCTGGTTTTTAACACAGACTTGAAAGGTATTGGTTAATAACTCATTGTGGTTTGCCTTTTCAGAGGAATGTTCCACTATCTTGGAGATAGCAGGTTTTCACTTGAATGATCTGCATGCCTACCATATCTTTTGATTGAAATGCTAGTGCTTCAGAGCAAAACCCACTAGTGTTTTTCTCCTCTCCTTGGTTCTGTTCTTGAGACTAGGTCACAGGATGGGCCTTTATTCACAATCTCATTTTCATTTGTGTTAGAGAAATAGAGATGGAGGGATTACATAAAAAGATAAATTGCTGGGCTGTCTCTTTATATTTAGACAATTTAGGACTTTCCATGAAAATATTCAGGGTATATAACTGGGATGAATTTTGTCATTTGGCTTGTTTCATTTGTACATTCTGCAAACCTTTGTAAGTTATCGTTGCCAGTAGCAGAAAAATTAAGTAAAACCACAAATTGCTACCTGATCTCTTCCTAAGGGTCTCACAGCAACCCTAAAGCAGTTTTAGAATGTGGTTTGAAAGATGATGTGGGGTGGTTAATGGGATGAATACTTTGTTTTAATGGTTAAATATATATATTAGAAAAAAAGATAACGCATGAAACCCGCAGTTTCACAGCTATAACTCTTTAGAACGAGGCCAATTAAAGAAGTAAGTTGGGGCTTCTCTGGTGGCGCAGTGGTTGAGAGTCCACCTGCCGATGCAGGGGACACGGGTTCATGCCCCGGTCCAGGAAGATCCCACATGCCGCGGAGCGGCTAGGCCCGTGAGCCATGGCCGCTGAGCCTGCGCGTCCGGAGCCTGTGCTCTGCAACGGGAGAGGCCACAACAGTGAGAGGCCCACGTACCGCAGGAAAAAAAAAAAAAGAAGTAAGTTGATTTAAAGAAAAGTATTAAGGTTCAGTACTTGGATGTGGCAGAAATCATGTTGATGGTAAATGAATAAGCAAAGTTTGAGAAGGCTGACCAACAGCTGATGCCATTTTGTGCTTTCGTTCTCTAGAATACAGTATAGCAGTGGCTGCTGTGCCTCCTGATTATTTATTTATCCTCAGTCATTGACACATCCTGAAACGTTAGTGACTCTTCTAGATGCTCTAGTGGTAGGAAAAATTATCATAATAGTAATTAGGTCTTCTTCTTGAGCACCAAGTTGTATATAAGGTGCTTTTTAAATAGCTTGTTTAATCCTCATAAGCTTGCAAGAATGCGTGATATTCTTCCCATTTAACGGTTGAATAACAGGTGCAAAGAAGTGAAATGATTTTTCTTTGGTTTGGACACTAGTAAATGGTGGGTAAAAATCTGTTCTGGATCTGTATTGCTCAGTCTCTTTCCACAGTTTCACCACACAGTTTCCTTTCTGTACATTCTTGTGTAAGATTGTATACTTTTACTGGCCAGATAATATGCATAGATGCGTGAAGAAAAATAATAATAAGTAGATTTATTGAGCACTTAGTTTGTGCCAGCATTGCTAAATGTACAATACTGCCAGTACAAGGCAAGTGTGTAAGCTCAGTGCCAAGTGAGTGAGTCATATAGTGATATTATAGGAATTCAAAAGTAGCAGTCTCTTTCTTCTCTGCATTTTAAGTCTCTCTCTCTCTGGTTTCTTTCACTTATAGGTATCTAAGTGTATACAAATAACCTTTAAAAAACAAAAACTTCCCCTTTACTTTGTAATTTCCTTAAGCCATTATCCTTATCCCTGTTCTTCCCTTTTAACCATTATTCTTGAAAAAAGAAGACCGTATTAGTTCCTATTCCCTAGCCTATTGCCACTTGATATGTGATGTCACCATTCTGAAGGCACCAAAACCATTTCCATTCTTACCCTTTATTGGTCCTCTATGAGATAATTGACATGAGCCATCCTTTCCTTGAATTTCCTTTCTTGGATTCCATGATGCAGCTCACTTCTGATTCTCCTTATAAGTCTCTAGTTCTTTCTTCTCCTCTTACTGCTTCCTTAAGCATTGGTGCTCTCAAGACTTCTGTCCTAGTTATATTCTTCTA